CTTACCCTGGATCTCCTTGGCACGCGCGGGCAAAAACCGCCCTGCTGCTGCTGCCCTCGTATTCCAAACCCTGTTCCCTGGATCTCCTTGGCGCGCGCGGGCAAAAACCGCCCGCTGCTGCTGCCCTTGTGTTCCGGTGCCTACCTCCCGAACCTTTCCCTACTGACGTCAGCTGACTCCACGATATCGTGTTTGGGGTGTCGGCGCGTANGTACTTCGAGATTTCCCCATTCAACATCACTGCACTTCTTGTGCATTCTGTCAACTTTTTCAACACCCTCCACATTTTCCCCTGGATCCCTATGTCCCACATCTTTTTCCACGATCCATTGCGCCAAACGGTGTCGTAGGCTATTTGTACATCTAGGAACAAACAGTATGTCGTACGCCCGGCGTCTTTCCTACCTATGATAATTTTACTCAACGTATATACATGGTCTACACAACTATGATCTGGTCTAAATCCAGCTTGTGCTTCGCTGATCTTTTGTTTCCCCTCCAACATGTCTCCCATTCTATTGTTGTTTATCATTTTGCCAAAGAGTTGGGGGAGGGGGGAAGGGGGGNCCCCTCTGATATCTCGGAGATCTGTATCCTGCCGAGTACATACACAAACACATCAGTCCGGACACACTCTTTCCCCCTACTTGGACGCCCTGTCTTACTGCTTCAACCGCCTTTATCAAGTCGTTGGTGTAAATCTTGAAAATAGTGGGTGACATCGTACAGCCCTGTGCGACTCCTTGGAGTACATCCACGTACTTCGAGATTTCCCCATTCAACATCACTGCACTTCTTGTGCATTCTGTCAACTTTTTCAACACCCTCCACATTTTCCCCTGGATCCCTATGTCCCACATCTTTTTCCACGATCCATTGCGCCAAACGGTGTCGTAGGCTATTTGTACATCTAGGAACAAACAGTATGTCGTACGCCCGGCGTCTTTCCTACCTATGATAATTTTACTCAACGTATATACATGGTCTACACAACTATGATCTGGTCTAAATCCAGCTTGTGCTTCGCTGATCTTTTGTTTCCCCTCCAACATGTCTCCCATTCTATTGTTGTTTATCATTTTGCCAAAGAGTTGGGGGAGGGGGGAAGGGGGGCGGCTTGTTTTACAATGTCGTTGCCAAGCGACGAAACCCAATCCCGATGGCAAACACCGATGGGGGGGG